CCCTGATAATTATTATAAACCATTAATATATAACAAAATTACTTTTTAAATAGTTTTTGTCTTTGAATTAATTTATTTTTGAAAATAATTATATTTTTTGATTGTATATTTATAATAAAAATATACTTTGTTATATAGTTTCGATAATGAATAAAAAATGCCGCGGACACGAAAATAATAGAAAGGACACCATATACACATAAAGGACGCCCTTTATAGCGGGAGGACATCCCTAAACCACAAAGGACGTCCTTCGGCCTATATTCCCGTCCTTCGTCCCCATGTCCGTCCTTTCTCTTAAATGTACCATAAAATCAAATTATATTACATTATGTTCAATATTTATAAAAATAATAACAACCTCCTAAACTACAACAAATGATTTCAATAAAAAAATATATAATTTTTGTAGTATGATTATAGTTTTATATTTTTTAAAATATTTAATTATAATTTTTTTTCTGTTTTGTTTTAAACTTAAAATAAAACAAATGTGTTTTATAAAACATTTTAATCTTTTTAAGATTTTAAGCATTTTTGGCGAATGAAGGCATTATTCGTTATTTTGTATTATTTTTTTATTTAAGTCTTTATTTTTAATTTAATTTTAAATCTGGTAAATAAAAAGCAGATTAGTTGTAATAATCTTTTTTTCTAAAGTCTGTCAAAAAACGTTGTCCATTTGACAAAAAATTACACAAAATAAGTTGAAAAATATGGGAATTAGGAAAAAATGATCAAATCCCGGTAAAAATTATGAAACAATGTTTTGAAAATGTTTCGAATTGTTTCCCGAAACATTCCAGTTTTGATGGTCCAAAAATGCCTGGACAACGTTGGAGAGCGGACAACTTATTCAGACTGACTATAGTTTGAAAAAACAAATTATTAAAAATAAACAAACAAAAATATAAAATTTATAAATAAACGTTTTATTTATAAATTCAATATTAATATTTTAACATATTTCCTACAATTTTGCTGGTTGTTTAAGTAACGATGTTGATTGATTAAATTTCAAGATGAAAATTTAATGGTAATATTACAATAATTAATAAGATTAATCAAATAATTAAATATAAAAAACCTACAGAAAAAGATTGTATTAACCACAAAATCTATAATTAATAATATAAATAATAAAACTTTCAATCGACAGTCAAATAACAAATTGTTAATAAAAATTCCCAGAAAGATATATTCAATTAATTTATAATATTTAATAATACAATATATTATTATGACTAGTACATAAAAAATCAAATTTGTCATATCTAAAATATATCAATACTAACCACCAAAATTAGCCTCCTTTTCATAATTTCTTACTACAGAATTTTTAAAATATATATTTTAATTCCCGAAAATTGAAGTACAAAGTAACTGATATTTTAACAAACCCCCTTCTATTCTTTGTCAAAGGCAAACAAATAAATTAATACAAAACTGACGATTAACCATACATTATAGTATAAAATATCAATTATAAATAACCAAAATGAAACCATTTGCGACACCATTTCCTCGTCTTAATTAATCAAATTTTAAAGGCAACTTAATAAGAAGTTCATGACTGGAACAACACCTACCATCAATTTAGACGACTTGATGACTGAACAAAAAATGGTGACTGTTGACGATTTACTGAAGGAAGCAAAAGAAGAGCAAAAGAAAGACGATGAATTGAAAGAGCAAGAGTTGACAAAGCAAAAAGAAAAAGATGACCAAAGTAAAAAGGATGCACAAACAACACCCAAAACTGATGAAGAGAATACAAAAGTCGAAAAAGTGCAATCTCCAGAAACACCCACCACTCCTTCTCATGATGTTATAACCCCAATTTCACCAGAAAAAACTATTAAAAAACAGCTCACAGTTCAGTTGTGTCATTTCAAGTCCGACATCGTCGCTGTCCACCCCGTCAAAAACGTCGTCTATTTCAATCGAAAAGCACTCAAATCAAAGTCCCATTTATTCGGTCTTATCGACTCAACCAGTTTCGACGTCCTCACGACCGATCCGTGGTCTTCCGTCTTTACTCAATCAGAGGATTGGACTCATGAACCCATCGAAGACACAATTGTAGACACTTCTGTGCTCAATGACAGATTCAATGTGGAGACTAATCGGCATTCAGTCACTTTCCACAAGCAACAATATAAAATCCCCATCGTCGATGCAGAGTCTGAATACCCTTTTTACGAAACATATTTTTACCACAAAAGTTTGTTGAGTTGTTCCATCTGAATAACAGATGGATCTAAGTACTATATATTTATTAATATAAATAATACATCTTTTTCTACACGAAAAGGTGTACCATATTTATATAGTAAAATTTACTAATATTATAGAAAGTGTCAAGCATTATATTGATAAGGAGAATATGATCCTCCTCTCTGTCGACGAGTCAACGAAGTACAAGAAAGCGATACTTCGGTCTGCAAAGGAAATGACCAAATTAATTATTCCGCCCGATACGGATATTGGAAAGTACCGTAACATCTTTCCTAAGAACTCTAAAGTGGTGAAGTACAATAACATTCCAGCGATAGACGAAGAACTTTATACGATAGAAACGATGAGTCTGAATCGCCAATACAAATTTGGAGTGGTGTATGTCAAACCGAATCAAGACGAGAGTCAAATCTTTTCGAATGACAAAGACCTTTCGATCAAGTTTTACGAACTTTTGGACCTTTTGGGAGATCGCATTGAACTGAAAGGGTTTACGGGATATAGTGGGGGACTCGACGTCAGATATAATGAGACGGGGAAGGAGAGTTACTGCTCGACGTATTTTGTGAATCAAGTCATGTTCCACGTCGCACCACTTCTTCCACCGACTATAGGAGAACAACAATTAGAACGAAAGAGACATGTTGGGAATGACATTGTAGTCTTAGTCTTTTTGGAAGAAGGCGTTAAGTCGTTTGATCCACGACTCTTTACGTCTCATTTCAATCACGTCTTTGTTATCGTCCAACCAATTAATGAAGAGACGTATGACGAAGTCATCAAAAAGTCGAAGACGAAGAAGACGACAATTTTGGGAGAAGGAGACTCGAGTAACTCATCAGACGATGAATGTTGCTTTGCTGCGGATGTCAAAGAAGATTTCTCTAATGTAGAATTGAAGTACTTAAGAGTGTCAGTCGTGTGTAAACCATCAATACCACCATTCTGTCCTTTCATCGATACAGGGGTCTATAAATATGGAGAGAGGTTGCGTCACTTCTTAATGCAAAAATGTTTGTTCTTTGTACTTCTTCAGTTATCGGAAATAACACTGTAGTGATAAACGGCGACAGAACTACTCTCAAATATCCACCTTTCAAAAATAACGCGGAAAACACGAGGAGACAACAAATCAGTGTCATCGCACAAAAGCTCAGCAATTAACTTGTTATTTCTTGCACATGTAGTCTTATCACTATTTCTATTTATTTATTATAAAAAAATAGTATAAAGATAGTTGTAATATTTACTAGTAATATTAATAATTTAATAATTTTAAATAAAATATGTTTTATTCTATTAACTCTAAAAGTTAATTTAAAAATTCCATATCGTTTGTTGACCATAAACATTTTCAAATACACCCCACTTGAGACAAAGCGTGTCTTTTCATTTAATTCAACAACGTTTGTTCTTCTATTGTTAATACACAACTTGAAGATTTATTGTGACAGTTATTCAAAACTTATTAAAAGTATGTTCTATATAAAAATAACAAATTGTATAAATAGTAGTAAATAAGCTATATTTAAACTATACATAAATAACTAAGAAGAATAAATAGAACCCCATCTTAACTGGTAACAATATGTCTATCCTCGATAAACATGAGCAAATTGCAAGTCGTAAGAAAGACCACATTCTTTTGTGTTCAACCGACTCAGTCAACAGCCACGTCACTACACATTTAGAAGACATCACTTTAATCAAAACGTGTTTTCCTCAACACTCGTTGTCTTCTATTGACATTTCCACGGACTTTTATGGGACTCATTTGAGTGCCCCAATTATCATTGGCGCGATGTCTGGGGGCTCTTCCGATGTTATTTCGTTCAATAAGGCTTTAGGAACTGCTGCGAATGCCACGGGGGTTGCGATAGGAGTTGGTTCCCAACGATCTGGTCTTGAAACGAAGGACGAGGGGATATTAGAGTCTTACCGAGTGATACGGGAGTGTGCTCCACGTGCGTTTATAATAGGAAACATTGGAGCCGTGCAGTTAACCGAGAGTGGAGATGTTTTAGATGAATTATTAGATATGGTTCGAGGCAATGCGATGGCTGTGCACTTGAATTGGGAACAAGAGTTGTCTCAACCTGAAGGTGACCGAGAGATGTATAGTCTTTCTCGACTTGAAGAGATCATCAAGAATTGGGGTGGGATAGTCATAGGAAAGCAAGTTGGTCATGGGATGACGAAGCATGATGGGATGATATGTCGTGGTCTTGGTATGAAATGTGTTGATGTTGGAGGCTTAGGAGGGACCAGTTTTGCAGCTGTCGAAGCTCTTCGTGTCAATCGCAAATTGAGTCAACTTAATGAAGTGCATTCAAATGGAAAAGATTTAAAAAAAGACTTTCAAAGTGTTGGACATTTATTATGGGATTATGGTATACCTACTGCCATGTCTTTATCAGATTGTTGTACCATTGAAGGACTCGATGTAATAGCTGGGGGTGGAATTCGAAATGGGATGGAGATAGTCAAGTGTTTATCTTATGGGAGTATCGCGTGTTCCATAGCACGTCCTTTTGTATCCTTAGCTCTTAATGGCTCCACTGATTGTATCACTTACATCGAAGAACTAAAAAAAGAGATATCTTCTGTGATGTTCCTAACAAATAGTAAGACACTAAAAGACACTCGCAACATCGACAAGATCATTTCTGGTGACTTGTCTCTTTGGCAAAGTCACACTTTCCTCGAAAATTGAAGACTTTTCTTATTTCGTCGTTCACACATTAATAAGTTGACGTATTGAACTAATAACTAAGACTACAATGAACTCATTGAATTATCGCAAGTAATAGAAAATACATACAAAACACATGAATCAGCCAAATCACACGACGACTTCCTCCTCATGGATCAGCGTTATAATACTTTCGAAGTTTTCATTCCCCTGTACAGCGTTGACATGTCTATTCACATCTTCCCCCATTCGTTGCTTAAACATTCGAATGGATTGGTGTTGGAGGATTTGTTGTGCTGTGATCCGCTTCTTCGGTGACACTTGAAGCATTAAGAAGATGAGTTCTTGTGACATGGTATCGATTTTCAGTGTCCGAATGAAATACGGAATCCCTTTATTCTCTTTTGAAAGTAGCTCGGGGATGTCCAATGAAAACACTTTCTCTATCTTCTCGACACGCTCCTTCACGTTTTTGTCTTCTTCTGGCTTCAGTAAAGACAAGATGTTCTTTTTAATTGAAGATACTAATAATTAACTATTCAATTTATTACAAATAATATACTAGTAAGTATAGTATATGTTCTATTATATATAGTAATAAGGAGACAAACAGGAATGACCCTTAAACGGCGGTGACCGCAATAACATCTGTAAGAATACACATCCAAGTTGCCAGATATCTATAGCTGTTGTTTCTTCAATACCCTCATTCATCCCTTCCGGTGGCATGTAGATCTTAGTTGACACACTTTGGAGGGTCGGGTAGTTTCCTGTCTGTGTGAGTAACTTACAAGAGCCAAAGTCACACAACTTGACACACAGCCGGTCTCCAACAAGAATGTTACTTGGCTTCTATTTGTAAGACGACGAGTATATATAGAAAAGTTGACGTTTACAACTTATTACAAAGTATTGTATAATTATAGTAAAAAAGCTATTAGTATATAGTTTGGGCACATGATAGGAAATGGTAATGGAGAGACAAACGATATCACGATGAATAATACCTCTGTTGTGTAAATAGCACAGTGCGCTGGCGGTCTGCGAGATGATAAATTTCATTTGCGTGACGGCAGTGATCTTTCCATTTTTGATGCAGTCCGATAAGTTGGATGGATACATCTCATACACCAACAACACGGCAAAGCTTGTTGCTGACTGCTCTAAGTAGACCTCCTCAAGCTTTATTATATTTTCGTGGGAAAGACTTTTCAACACGCGAATTTCTTGAAGCGCGCGGAGGGCAACCGTCCCCGTTGTGAGTAACTCGATCTTTTTACATGCAGACGTTTGTTTTGTTTCTTTGTGATAAATTGAGTACACAACACCCTCCGATCCTTTGTCCAGTAGTCCTTGAATGGTGTATTTCTCCTCAAATCGTAACGGGTTGTTGTTTGGGTTTTGTTGCTTCCAAAGTGGTTGGTTCATATGGCTTTGAGTTCTTCGTTTTACTCATATAAATACATTTAAGCATTTTTTGACTCATCTTTGGTAAAAATAAAACTATACTCGTATAATAGATTATAGCATATGTATAGTACATTGCTTAAACAGAATGAAGTTATTTGCAAGAAAGAAAAAGCCAAATAACTTTTTAGGAGAAAATCCCGATTTTGTAAGGAAATATGAACTGTGTTTCTGTTTGGAGGAAAAAAGTAATGAAAATTGTAATCCTATAATTCACATAAAAACGAATCTTGCTCTCGAAAAAATGAACTATATTTACTGGTTTATTTAATTATAAAATATGGTAAAAAAGTTTGACTATGGAAATCGACAAGTTATATTGAAACAGAAATTTCGTACTCTAATCAAGCCAAGTTACTGTAGCCACTCTTCTTCTTGTAGTACATGAACAAAACAGCACCCATCGCACCTCCAATGATGACCAAGAACAATATGAAAGTCAAAACACCAACAACAATCCATGCGACTGGAGTATCACTGTCGTTATTGTTGTCTTTCGAATCGATAGAACTCTCAGAACTGTGACTTGGCTCAGTTCCAGACGATGTTTCTGGATCGGGTTCTGGCTCAGGAATGAAGAAGTCGACACCAATAAACCCTTCATCAGCGAAATTCTCGGGACCTATGAAGATGTATACCATTTCATTTGCGGTGACGTTCACGTCCAACATCGTACCATAGATATCACATCCAATGATCGAACTTGTGGCAATGCTAGTGAAGTCATCTAACATCGAAATAGGCGCTTCGGCCGTGCCTGATAAACTACATTTTGTGGCTGTCACGATATTTGTTTTCATGGTTGTGTAGCTTGAGCACGTTCTAACGGTGATCGTTATATCCTTCTTGTACATCACAGAGAAGTAGTTACCTTTGGTCGTCCCAAAGTCGCCAAAGTCCGAAGTGCGCGAGTACTTATTCAGTACAGTGTACGACACAAACCCTTCATCAATTATAATTGGGGTCGCTCGAGTGCATATCGAATTTTCTGGGACTTCGGTTGTGAATACCGCAAGACGGTATTGTCGGAGCGAAGAAGTGTCAATGCCCTCATTGTACACAGTAACAACATAATCGGATCCAATACTGGTGTGCGCTTGCATTTGCGCGGCATTATAAGTGCAGCCTGGACTATCTGCAACTTCTTTCACACACATTGTGGTCGGCTCTCCAGCACATCCGGAAGTCATCTCAAGACCCGTGTTCACCAAAGTTCTTGGGAAGCAAGTCGAGATGTCGACGTCCAACCCCTTTTCTGATGTGAATCTATAATAATTTGCCGCGTACGAAAGTCCTCTACAGAATGTGGTTGTCTTCTTTGAGTTAAAGGTGTGTAAAGCAGTGAACGGCAAGGTGATTGGCATTGCTGAAGGACACTCGTCGATTGCGAGGACGTCCTCTTTAATAAATTGAATGTTCATGAACTTACTTGTTGAAGAATATGGGTAGATGTATATCAAGCGAGGGTTTGATGTTGTCAATGACACCGTGAAACTCCCCTGAGCAACTCCGTCGCATTGAATCAATCCACATTTGCGCGGAAACTCGATATAATTAACTCGTGAATTTAACATGTCCATGGCTAATATAGTGAAATGCTCGACTTGGTTAATAACATTTTTAGTAAGTGAGTACCAAGTCCCTCGGTCTTGTTTCGCCTCTGAGTTGCATCCATGGACAGAGAGTTGTTGATTGGCAATCGAAATTTTCTCTCCGAAGTACTCGGTGTTAACCAGTTCCATGGCGTGTTCACAGACAGAGTGGTCCGCTGTCTTTTCATACACGTCGATGTTCATTTTACACTCGCCGTCGTTGCAGTAAGCAAAGAAAGTGAACGTCTCCCCTTTGTTGATGTGTTTGACTAAGAAGTTGTTATCGCCGCACTCCCCATATTCTCCGTCTTGAATAGCACACTCCATAGAAGTGCAGTCTTTGATTGCTTCAATAGAAACTCCAATAGTTTCCAAGTCTTCGGTGATTGACTTGCAAGTGGAAAAGACGTAGTCTTTGTTCTCACCAGTGAATGTAAAGTATATGCCTTTCACAGGTTCACTAGTTCCATAACAAGAACCTTCCACTGGTGGCCAAACATTTGTCACTGTGACTTGTCGTGTGAATGGAAGTGTTTTAATTGGTATTGCTCTACCACATGTTGCGGGAATTTCGTCTTCCAAATGCTCGACTTGCAATTTGAATTGTCCCTCTTTTGCTAAATTGCCGTAGACACCGATGTAATACGTCTTTCCCAATTCCGAAGTGAATGCCATAATGGAAGAGGTTGAAGTTTTACTACATCCGTCGTCGGCCATTTTAAGGCATTCGGCGTCAGTGCAAATTCCTCCATTTGACGGGGTATCAATCAAAACGATTTTTGTATCAAAATTGGTATACACACCACACGTGTAAACAACAATATCCTTTCCGTCTCCAATGAGTGAGTACCAATAAGTAGTTGTCGCTGATTTGAAACACTGGGGTTTAACCTTTTCGTTTTGATTTGTTAAAACACTTTCTTCGATGTAAGGAAGAGAGGTAATAGGTTTTGCTTTGTCACAATCGGTATTAGAAGTGTCCAAAGTTGCTATTTTGTTATTACCGTTTAATATGTAATATGCTGAAACAAACACTTTGATACATGGAACTGAGCATCTCCGTCAACCAATCGTTTAAGAAGGATATAATACGTCTTCCCCGTCTCGACCTTAAAGTTGACTGTTGGGATATCAGTGACATTATAGTCACATGTCTCTTCAATGCCTGAGCGTGCAATGTAATTTTCAGCAACTCCGGTTGTCGAACATGACCCAAACACGTAAATCTCATGAGTGACTTGAGTTAATTTGTCGCATGAATTCGAGTTAAAAATGACACTGTCCAACTCGTCGGTAGCAGTGAATTTGTAATAGAATCCTTTGACTGTTGTGGGCGCACCAGTCCCTATGACCACTTGAGAGTCCGTTATACTTTCAGAGAATGTGACTAAGTTCTGGAAATTGGGTGGATTAAAACTCGAGGCATCAGTACATTTGTAGTTTGTCGAGAACGCAAAAGAAATGAAAGCCAAGAGCAAAGCCATCATCTTCTAGTTTCTAAGTTCACAGACAACCCTTTTATAGTCTCTTCATTTCTCTTTACTTCTTTATCTTCTATCTCTATTCCGTCTTTTTCTGAAAAATGCAATCTTAATCGTTTCTATGCTATTTGAGTCATTTTGGTCAGAGTTTTCAATCTTTTTCTATACAAATCATTCAGTAATAACTCAGATTCTGGTGAGCTAAATATTCTTTTGCTTTGAATTAGTTTTTTGGTAAAAATAACAGAACAAGAAGAGCATTTTCGAAAGTCTTATACCGATTCTACAACTTTAACATTTGTTGACAGATTTTTACTAGTTATTTATTACAAAATTAGTAATTGTTTATTTTTATGTTCCCAATTTGCTTTTTCTTTGGTGAAGAATTATTTTGTCCAAATTTTGAACAAATTTTGTTCATAATTTGTTTTTTTTTGAAAAGATTTTTGTTTTTTATTTTGGTGTTTTTAAATTATAATTATACTATTTTATAGTAAACTGATATATGGTTTAATAATAAATTAATTTTATTATAATATATTTAAAAAAATTAATTATTTCTCAACTTATTTTGAATAGTAAAAATGTTATAATTTATATTATTTATTAATTATAATTAAATTAATTAGTTAAGTAATTAAACTAAAAATATCATTAAAAAAAACAATATTAAACAAATTAGTATTTATTATCATTATTTATATAAAATGTTTTTTGCACCTTTAAACTTCTCGTGACATTTTAAACTGATAGAAAGAATGTGAAATTATAGCAAGAAAGTAAGAACATCTCCGTTTTCAGATTCAATTCATTCACTTATTTTTTAAATACTTTGAAAAGTGAAAAAAGTATTAAACACCTTACAACCACAAATTTACTGTGTTTTCTTCTGGTCGTATTGAAACTAATAAATAGTATTATTAAATTAAACAAATAGAATGGAACAAAACAAAATGAATTACTTAAAAAAGCAAATCAATTCTTTTTTTTTACAATTTCTTTGATAAAAGTGACTTAAAAATTGTTGACTACAATGTCGCGATTCTTTTGTATCTTATAAAACACCAACTTAAAAGGCATTATTTAATGAAAACAAGTTGCCCTGTCCAAGTGAATTTCCAAAAGTGTATTGGTTTGTCTTTTATGTTGTCACACATATCAAAAACTAGTATGATTATAGTTAAAATACTAGAATAAAACTACTCAATACACTCATCCACAGGTTGTCTTCAATGTGTTCGTGTATGTCCAAAAGGTGTACTCACTAGTACTCACATGAAGAGTACTGTCACATATCCCGAGAATTGTATAGCTTGTGGCTGTTGTTCATCTGTCTGTCCTGTTGGTGCCATCATTTTCAATGGGGTTTCTCCCTCTAAAATAGACATCGAGAGTTTCGGTGATGTCGAAGAGAACCTTCACACCACCGCCAACCAAGTGACTTCTGATGATGAAAAGGTACCTCCTCGCTTTTTGGCCACTTTAATAGAAAAAGCCAAATTCAGTATCACCACTGAATACAACAGGAAATTCAACATCATCGTATTAAACACAGACAAAACGTATCCACAGTTAGTTTGTGTAGTCAGTGACAAGTTATATTATGTCGATGATCTCAGATTCCTCTCTACTTTATCTTTAATTTTGACTCAACACAATATTCATTGGAAGTTCGTCGATTACACCGATGAGTCAAATGACATCACTTGTGCTCTAGCTGTTGGTAAACCGCAATCTAAAAATTGAGTTTTCTTTCATTTCTATTCTATAATTTATAATTAAAATATTAAATATAATAGTATGCTCTAAAATTATATGTATTAGTATAAATTACCATAATAATATATTATTATTATTCTAGTATTATAATAACATTATTACTATTCAAGTAATACAAAGTCAACTAATCAATTAAACTTGGGTGGGCGTGGAGCTTTACTATCTCGGTTCTTTTCCCGTTTCTCAACCCTCTTTTTATCGCTCCGCTTCTCCCATTCACCTTTCTTTAACATACAAGGCCGAGTCCCTATATACTTCCCGTTTAACTCTCTTAACGCACTTAAAAACTCTGTTGGGTTTGCAAAACTAACAAACCCATATTCCTTCGTTTGTCCCGTGTGTATATTCTTAATCACCCTTTTAGTCAGACTGTGTTATTATAATGACAAATAAATGAAACGAACAACAAACTTCACTTTTTGCACAGAGGGATACGCTGAAAAAAAAGAACACAACATCTCTTCGGTCACTTCTTTGCTTAAATTACCAACAAACATACGATAATCATTCGCAGGCCAGCTCTCTAGAGACTCGTCAACCCATTTTTTCCCGTCGACGTTTCGGTACTTTGAGCCAACACGCTTCTGTGGAGCACCAGACGGTACAGACATATCTATATTTTCAGTTCTATTTTTAATTGATTATTTTAATATAATGAGTTGTAAATTTATGTTGTATGATTTACAAAAATAAACAAATAAAACCCACATCAATTATATGAGTTCAAATGATTCTGTGGATAAAGCCTGCTCTCTCAGACTTCTTCTGTTTGTACTCAGTCTTAAGCTGGGTGAGCTCAGTCTCCTTCCCATGTAGCTCTTCAGTGAGTTCTCCCTTTCTGTCGGCAAGGTTGGTATCCTTCTCAATGGCGTTGACTTCCTTTTTAAGGTATTTGACAGCATTCTTGGCGTTCTTGTACTCAAGCTTCTTTGAATAGAACTCAAGCTCCTTGAGGTGGTTCATTTCCTTCTTCTCTTCCTTGGTAGTTGACATCTTAACTTCTGTTTTTTCCAGTGTTTTCACACGCTTAAGTGTACTGTCGTTCCGCACTTTTCAATCTCGTCTTCTCTTTTTTTCAATCTCATAAAATTGACAAAAACAAAGTTAATATACATTACAACGAATAAATATAAAAATTTACCCATTATCCTTAACACTGTTTTTGTTTCTTCAAAATAACTGAACGCATAATAAAGTTGTTCCAAGCCTTTTTTATCACTTTGCTTTTTGAGTTTTATGCTTTTTCTTTTAAAAAACAAAATTATATAACATTGATATCATAAATATAATAAATCGTATATAATAACCATGCAAAATCAAAACACCAACAATAATTAGTAAAAATTATAATATTTAAAATAAAAAGTATGGTTTCACAAATTATTATACTCGAAATTATTCATTTTGCAAATTTCTCAAAAAAATTCAAACTCAAAAATGATGGAATTGTTCGACCAAGACCAATTCCAAAACGAAATTGCCATTAAACTTAAAAACGGTACTGCAACTACAACGGAAGTTTTGTCCACTCTTGTTTTATTGTTCAAATCAAAAAAATTTCCCGGCCAAATCTCTCAAATTTTGTCAACCCTATTATCAAATCAGGGTTTTCCCCAAAATGTAAACACGTTAAAAATTCTCCACAAAACTATTTTTCTTTTGATTTCCAATAAGAGTCCACAAACCATTTTATACGAACAAGAATATTTGAATCTTATAAAGATCATCACAGACCTTTTTGTTCAAAATGCAAACACAGAAAACATCACACAAATCGTTCAGATCGTTCAATTAATGATTTCTGTCGATTCGAATGATTTGCTTCTGTTTTTTACAGACATTCTAAGAAATTTCTTTGTACTTGGATCAAACGAAACCACTGAGGAAATCGAAAGTGTCTTTGTCAATCAAATCGACAATCCTAATGTGATAGAAATTGTTCAAACAATACCAAGAGTGTACCTCTCAAAATTTGATGAAATGGTTGATAACTCCAAACAAGTGATTCTCGAAAAGATGTTTACAGAGTTAAACTTTAAAGTGATTCTTTTTTACACAGCGAATTACACAACTGCTGACCCACAATTCGCTAAAATACTTTCGGGTGCTCTCTTTACACCCGCAACGCCTACCCTTCCCTTAAGAGTGCACAACCCGATCACCCGTAAATATCTGATGAAATTGTTAATTTCTCTTTTTCAGAAATTCGACAACGAGAAGACAATACCAGGAAATACAACATGTTCCGAATTGATGAACGTCTTTTTCGAACACACAAACCCAATAATTCCAATCCGCATGACACAATACGACTTGAAAGGTCATGGTTTTGTCGGATTAGAAAATTTGGGGTGTACATGTTACGTCAATTCCATTATCCAGCAGTTGTATATGAATGTCCATTTCCGCAACTCAATCATGTCTCTTCACCCAACTGAGAAATCAATTTACATCAACGCATTCCAAAAACTCTTTTCTGAGCTCCACACGTCTTCTTTGCGTTACGTCAAGACGGGAGACTTCTTCTCGAAACTCCGCGACTCCAACGGGAAGAAGTTCAACGCTCACATCCAAATGGACGCACAAGAGTTTCTCTGTAATGTTTTAGAGACAATTGAGAAAGAACTGAAGCTCTTGCCGCACCAAGAGAATATTATTGAACACTGTTTTTCGTTGGTATTGTCTAACCAAATAAGAAGCGAAGAGTGCGGACATGTTAGTGAGACAGAAGAACGAACAAATTGCCTTCAAATAGCTATCAAAACGTTTGGGGAATGTAACAAAACGTGTTTAAGAGAGAGTTTTGAGGCAATGGTGTGCGGGGATGAGCTCTCTGGAGAGAACAAATATCATTGCACGCGTTGTGGCGATTTTGTCAATGCAATTAAGAGATCATGTTTCAAAGTTCTTCCAAACACTCTCGTTCTGCATTTGAAGAGATTCGAGTTTGATTATGAGACAATGAAGAAATTTAAGATTTATGACAAGTTCGCCTTTCCGACACTTCTCAATCTCACCACTTATTCGTCACTCTTTTTGGATAAACAATTCCCTCATTCAAATGAAAATTGTTTTGTTTATGAATTGGTCGGTGTGGTTGTACACACAGGGAATTTGGATAGTGGGCACTATTACTCGTATATAAAGAACCAAGAGAGTGGAACAGATTGGGTAGAATTCAATGATGACATTGTGGAGTATTTCAATCTCGAAAATCTAGAAAAAGCAACGTTTGGAGATTGTGGAAAGAAAAACTGTGCGTATATACTATTTTACCAGAAAAAAGAACCAAACTATGTTATTAAAAGTGTCACGTGGCCAAAAGTGTACTGTCAACCGGTCGTTGTGAACGATTTGAAGATTTTGAATAGTTTTAATGTGTTTATGAGTTTTGAAATGGCAGATTATTTACTTTCGTTTTTGGAGCATCTCAATAAAAACGAGTGGATTGAATTTGGAAAAACGGCGTTAAAAACAAACAAAGAATATCAAAACATGAGTGGAAAAGAGAGTGGCGAGATTGAGGATGTGGCGAAACGGTGTCTCTCATTTGTGTTTATTGAGAAACCCGTTTTGTTTAAATACGAAAATAACAAAAAATTTGATGACAAGTTGATTGAATTGTTGGAACGACACGATTCTTTGGTGGAGAAAATAATCGAAGAAGAAATTAACCAAAAGCTGAAAAAAAACCTTCTCATGAAGACACTCACCGAAGTCTTTGTAGAAAGCACGACTGACGAAGTGATCAAGTTCTTTGCGAGGTTAATCAACATCGGAAACAAAGAACGGGTCACTTTATATGGAGAGCTGTTGGTCGAGAAAATGATGAGGATCAGAAAGACAGCACTGGACTTTTTGAAGTTTTGTAAACTCATGAATTTGACAGAGAGAGAAAGTACTCTGTGGAAGGCAATGAGTCAAAAACTTGTATCCATGGGGAACTCTGGGATTGGGATGGTCGAGAGAACACTTTCGTGTAACGACGGTAAAACGAAGAAAGCTCCAAACTACGAAGACTTGTGTTCGGTTTTTATCGACATTGTTGAGGGGTATCCCGACGTTACACAAATTGGGGTGAGTCAAAATTACAAACATAAAATTTTGAATTGGGCAGAGTGTTGTGATGAGTTTGTTGATCAAACGAAAATAGATGAGTTCAAAATCTTGTTAACAATGGATGGCGATGTTGTTGACAAAAATGGTATTTGCGTGGTATAAAGACGTTTCGTTGAATAATGTGATACATACAAAAAATTGTTCACTTTTTATCAATTGTTGTGTATATTTTATGTTAAACGATTTACAAATTAATATTTATTAACGAGATATTGGTTGTTGCAATCTTTATGTCTTTTTAATTAAAATTTATAATAAAAATAATTATTAATTTTTAATTATTAATTTTAACTTGGTAATTAATATGATGATTTATTTTTAATTTTTCAATATTTAATTCTATATCAGTTCCATAAAAACAAACTTTAAATATTATTATTCTAGTAATAAATAACTACTATAAATAAATATAAAAAATGAAAATCAGAATTTAAAATGATAACAGTGAAACAAAAAAAATACATATAGTTAATAATCATTTACAATAGTAAATCATACTAAAGAATCTCCCTGTTGTTTTGAGTCATTCCAGAAAGAGGAACTTGAAAGCTGTCAAACTTAGTGATCAGACAATGTCATCCGAGCAACATCACTTTGAGGCGCGCGTCTCGAACGATGAGATAAGAAAGCGTCG